ATTATACTAATCAATAATTTAATAGTTTTTACATTTCTATCGCAAAGTTACATAATTTTGGTAAAATCGAGTTTACGGCATAAATATAATTCATTCAAGTTGTGAATTTACATATTTGTGAATAAAACAACATTATATCTAATTATATTATTCGTAAAAATATAATTTTTTTAATTATAATCGAATAATTTTTTCTTATACTTTTAAACGGATGTAGTCGAATAGTCGAATATGTGCTAAATTTTTCAACCCAATTTTCATCGATCTCTATTTTAAATCGTTATATTCCTTCCTATACTGATGAAGTATTATTACGTTCAATAATAAATATTTCTCAAAACAGATCTGGCAACACTGTCCATATTTTTTCATTTTCGCGATGCAATACTTGCTTAAGTCGATATGACAGGATGTGACACGAAAATGGTAAACGGGTTATATGACTCCCCTGGGACACAGAAAAGCATTAGATGTCCGGTCTGTGCATGTTAGTCAATGGTAGAATGTTTTCGGTTACTTCGTCTGTGGTTACTAACTTCACATTTCGCTATTGAAAGTTGACAACACTGTAATGGGTTTCAAAAATCATGTTGCTGGTTCATTTACTAGTTTCCCGGCTCACCGTTGTTTAAACGTAGAGTGCGCTAAAAAACCAGTGATTTTTTAGTATGTCGGTATTTCAGGTCACGGGCCACGAAAGTTCGTAAGATGCAATGTCTATTCGTGTACCTCGTCGATGGCCTCACGTTTCGTTATTGAAAGTTTGACAACGCTGTAACGGGTTTCAAAAATCATGATGCTGGTTCATTCACTAGTTACCCAACTCACCGTTGTCTAAACGTAGAATGCGTTAGAATATCAGTGATTTTTTTACTACGTCGGTATTTCAGGTCACAAGCCTAGAAATGGTAAGATGCTTGGTCTATTCATATACTTCGTCTGTGGAAGAAGCCAGGCCCGATGGCTGAAACGGCCAACAGATGGGAGGAGAATGCAGCTGTAGGAGAAGTATACAGCTCGCGCAGTAATAGATGTCGCAGCGGTAGCGGCCGACCGAAAGTTGGCGCTCGCAGTCTTTCCGTTGTCAATAACGGACACTGGCAGTATCATCCCGGCACAAAATCCCGGAAACATCTCGTATCGTGAAATTCAACGAATACCCGAATGTAACTTCGAGTCGTTTGCGTTCTCGTTTCGGTGTGATTGGAAATCCGTGAAGAGGGAACGTGCTGTCGCATAGGTTACACGACGCACCATTTTAACAAGGAATTCGCAAAAAACGGGCGTGCCTTGGACAGTCGGCGACGTCCCTGACGTGAAAATACACAACGGCAAGAAGTGGTGGACAACGGCTACGAGACTGCGACTGCGGCTGAGATTGCGACAAAAGGGAAGGACGGAGCAACAGCAGCAGCAGCGAGGATAAAACACGACGGACACGGTGCATGAACGAAACAGAGCTAGGAGGAACATCGGCGGCGGCACTAGCGGGGCAGCAGCAGCAACAGCAGCAGCATCGGCAACGGTGACTGAAAGGGAAGAATACGTGGGGCGAAGAACGGTGGAGAGGAACGCAGCACAGCCGCGTGATTTTGAACGCGTACGCTGCCGTAACTGTCAACGGTCGGATTTCGAAGTCTGGCGAACTACACGGTCCTTCTAAGGCTTCTCTTCCCCGAGAATCGCTGCGTTTTCGTCTCGACAACATCGTCGCCGTCGTCGTCGTCCTCCTCCTCCTCCTCGTGGTTCGATCCGGTGAAAAACCGGCTGTATTACGATCGTAGCAACGGCGTGAGAACACGACTAAATGACCATGGACCACGGCATATACAATATCGAGACCGGCTATAGTATAAATATCAAGAGGACAGACGGTGAGTAATGTATCACGGCAAAGTATTTTTAGGCACTTTCGATGGACAAACCGATCGCGTGCATTTTCGTTACTCACTGTCAACGGAAAATCG